CCATCAGAATCCCTGGGGGACACCACGTGGATGTGACAGTAGGCGTTGGCAGGAATAAGGAGATCTGGGAACTCAATTGCAGTGGGTAGGGCACTAATGCTCGATCTCGAAAGAGTTGGGAAGACTCTCGCATCCATCTCCCAGTCTAGATCTCCAGTTACTCTATCCTATTGACCACTTAACCTGGCTGATTCTTCTAATGCCATCCTGAAACTGCAGCAAGACATCAATAGAATATGCGCGTGGGCAAACCTTAAGAAGCTCACATTAAATGCCGAGAAGACAAAAGTCATCCTGATCGGATTTCCCTCACTCCTCAAATCCTTACCTGTACCTCCCAATCTTCTGAAAAACTCATCTATCTCCTTCTATACTACCATTAAAATCCTTGATCAAACCCTCTCCTGGAAATCACACATCTCCCAAATTTCCTGCTGTACTATTTCCATCCTGATACAGTTTAACCATCTATACTATCTCCTTCCATTTCAAACCTGTCAACTTCTCGTTCATCTCTTGTTTTCCATTGCATATCTTGCATCTCTTTCCACTTCGACTATGGCGGACTCTCAGGAGAACTTCAACATCTAATGAATTGCTCAATATGCTTTATCTTTGGTGTCTCAAGGGATACACATATTAACCAGTATTACATTGAGTTGAAGTGGCTTTATCCGTCCTACTGCTGTCAGTATTTCCTTGCTACCTCCCTATACCGCACTTATAGAACTCGGCAACCCTCTTATATTCTACAGATCCTACAATTCAAATCCTCCATTCGATCCCACCCCACCAGATCCCATATGTCCAACCTCTGTTCTCCTTACCGAACTGCTGCATTTGACAAATCCTTTTTAACTCAAGCCGCTTCCCTCTGGAATTCTATCCCTTCTGTTATTTGACAAGCAAAGTCAGTATCCTCTTTCAAATATCTCCTCTTCTAGAACCTATTCTCAATCTGTTGATCATGAAATACATTTAAAAATTTAAATCGTAAGACTCTCAAAGTACCCCCAGATACATTGATTATTTTGTGATTCATTGATATTTTGTTTTTTATTTTATATTTATGTACGTTTTTTATTTCTATTCATTATCTGTACTTTTGTTTTATTACCAATCATCTTGTAAGTATTTAATTTTATTTTATGGACACACCAACATTTTAATTTATATTCTATATTTATAATTTGTTAAATTATATATTAGTCATTTGTATAAAGGGAATCTACAATTGGAATGGACACTTGTCCCAGAATAATTCATTTATTTACTCATCATTTCTCATTAGGTCTGCCTTCCATTGATATTTGTGAATGTTGTTATCCATAGAAGTCCATTGTATTTTGATTCTGATTACCATGAATAAATTGTTCATTCAATCTAATCTGAGCTTCAATTTGTTGTTGACTCATACAGTGATGGAAAAAAGTATTTGCACATCATGTTTTTATGAATAAACGAGTTCAAGGAACCAAAAAACTTCGCTTTCCTCTGCAAAAACGAAAAGTACATTTGTTAAAAACTGAGAAAAACCTTTTGGAAAAAAATGACAACACTCCATAATGAAACAAAAAAATTAAAACAATAAAAGTGCTTGGAAAAAAATATTTGCACACTATTACTCATAAGCTCTGTTTACTTTGGTTAATATTTTCATGTGTTTATATGGAGCTGTTAATATTTAATGTTCCAAGACAGCTCCACACTCCTCCTCAGTCACCCGATATAAATATCATTGAAAATTTATGGCACACCCTTGACCAAAATGTAAGAAAACACCATATCACTAGTGGACTTCACCTTAAACAACTTCTTGTTCAAGAATGGGAACAAATAAACGTAGATTTAATTAAAAATCTAGTGCATTCAATGCCCAGACGTCTACAAGCAATTATTGACGCAAATAGCCTATTTACAAAATATTAAAACTAATAAAATTTAAAATAAACTTGTAAATGTGGAAGTGTGCAAATACTTTTTTTCCAAGCACTTTTATTGTTTTAATTATTTTGTATGATTATGAAGTGTTATTTTTTTTTTTTTAAATAAATAAATTTACTTTTCATTTTTTCAAAGGAAAGCGAAGTTTTTTGTTTCCTAGAACTACTTTATTCATAAAAACGTGTTGTGCAAATATTTTTTTCCATCACTGTAGGTTTTGAAGCCTGGTTCTGTGTTAAATCTTTGTTTTCAGTATTTAGTGAATTAGTATGTTCTTGACTTTTCTCATCTTAAACATTATTTAAACTTATACGAGATTCATGTCATTATTGATCTGCTTAAGTTCGATGTAAAGTTCTCTTATTCATTGACGAGCAAGTAATGATTCGTGATCAGCTAGAACAATGTGTAATTCACCGAGAAATTCTTTACCATGATAAGAAACGGTAACAACAATGTTTCTCTATTGAATGATTTTCCTGAATATGACCAGAAGGCAATGTGAGAAGCTTTGAGAGGAATATTTAAATTGAGACGCTTGAAATCAGACTCGAACAATAGAGTGTACTTTGCACCTGAATCAACTTCTACCGGCTACAATTTTTCATTGATGTATATAGCAATGAGATATTTATCACTATCAACTATTTTGAACAAATTAACAATTTTAAAGAGCTTTTTGAGGCCGTAAGTAAGTGGATCAGGATACATGGGCATTACCTGCAGAGCATTAGTTGAACTGGACGCAGTCTTGTTTCTTGGTTCTTGTATAAGAGTTCAAATACACACTTTTGCACAATGTCTCAATTTAGAACATGATTCACATCTGATTTTGGACTTATTAATCTGGCGCTATTTTACTTTATGATTAGTTCTTCCACATCTGATACAAACATTGTCAATACCTAGTGCTTGATAGTCAGGTCTTCAATTCTTTTTATAACTGGAAGATCTTGAGTTTAAACGATTTATAGAATTATTTTGAGAATGATTTTTAAACATATGGTGTGCAGAGCTTTCCATCTTATTTATATCATAGGAATCAAAGTTGTAATTGCTAGAGCTTTGACGTTGAGTAAGTTCTTGACTTTCTACTTATGACACTTCAAGAGCTGTGGCTTTTTATAGAATTCTATTGAATGTAGTGGCATTTGATAGTAATATCTGCTCTCTAAGCCATTTGTCTCGTAAACCTCAAATAAATTGAGCTCTTAGAAATATATATCCAAAATTAAAATGATTTGATTGCATTCATTGGCTGTACAATTAGCAGAGAACTCACATTCAGCTAAGTCTTCCTGAAGAGTAGCGACCAATTCAGAAATTCTTTGATTTTATTTTTGAAAAGCATTTAATAAGTAGAGTTGTGCCACATTTCTTTTTAGAATTAACATTTTATTGAAAGTATCAATTAACTCATCATAAGAAAGATTTTTAACTGGTTTCTCTGGATCTAGAAATACTGCTAACTTATTATAATGGCTTGAACCTGTGACTCATTTCATAGTATTTTTCTAATCATTCTAAGTAACACAAACATTTTTCTTTAGATGGAACAAAGTTTTCAAATGGAGCTAAGCTTGAAAAATTGCTTGAAGTGGTACCAGGTACCAGGTACCAGGTTCTGGAGGTTGAAGTTTTGATGCTATTTCTTGTATCATCGCCTTTTGTGATTCTGAAATAACTAACAAGAGTAGTTTGACTTGTTCTGAATCCATTTTGACACTTAGAATAATTTATATCGAAAACAAAAATTGAGACTGTAAAATGTACCCATGCTTTGTTATTATTACAAAAAAAAAAAGACTCTCACCTTGTCGCCAATTAATGTATCTTTGAATTGAAAGATATTTACTCAAAAGACATTGCATTGTGATTATTCTGTTTAGAACATAAGGATATGAATATGATATACATTGAAGACTTATATTAAGAATTCACATTGTAACATATGGACACACTTAGCATAGAAGAGAGAACAGACAGCATGACCGCAGAAGGCGGGAGTTGGAATACCATTGAATTGCAATACATCGAGATAAATACAAAACTTAAGTCATAGGGAATACATGACGATCCCTGTTTAAAGGCCATAAATTTATTCCTTTTAAACTTGGGATATTGAAAGTAGTTTTATGGAAGATTTTAATGACATAACTCAGGATTTGGTTAATAATCTATCTGAGGGCATAGGAAGATGATTGATTGTTGTAATTCATGACACTAACAGTAGCACTAGACATTCAGTAAATTTGAATAGAAATTGTAGCACTTATTTGTTTTTTTAATTGTAAATTATTTTTTCTATTGGCTTTACTAATCTTGTATTTATTTAGCCTTCTTCACCTTTGTTTATCTTGGGCTTTCCAGTTATCTGCATTTAGCTTTGCAGCATCTTTGTTGATTTGATCTATCCATCTGAATTTTGGCCTGGAATTTGGTCTCTTGTCTATTATTAATGCATTCATTATTGTGTAGAGACTTCCTGATAGATTGCTCACAGCTACGTGTCTTGCCCATCTTAATCTCCTTCTCATCATATCAAGACAATTGTGGGTTAAATATTTTCCATAAATAAATGTTTTTTACTAATACTGATTGATTTATTTGAAACAAATCCTTGTTAAATTGTTATAAGAAGCATTAACACCGATTTCAAAGTGCTGTGTTAATTTTATTCTTCAATTTATGAATTAAATCCATGTCTTGAAAAACATGTTACCTCTGATTTTTAGCTGAATACACTTGACTTAAATATGGCGAATTGCTGTGAAAATGTTAACTTTGATCAAATGAACTAACAACCTTTCATATGAATAACATTGTTGGTTATAATTTTAAAGTGATTCAAAATACCCATTTTTGTTAAAGTCAGAATTTTTTATTTAGATCAAAGAGAGTAAAGAAAATGAAAATCACTTTTGATTTTCAAAATGTTTATGAGTAATTTAGATAGAAAAAATATCATTGAATTGATAAATATTAGAACAAAGTTTAAAACCAATATAGTTTTAAAACCATCCTCTCTCTGTGGCTAATAATTATAATATTTTCAGGTGATTATTAACAGTGAAGACAGTATTAAAGTAATCGAATTCAAATTTTATTGGATTAATTTTAGTAAAACATGTCTAACGAAGGAAAATAGAGAACCCAAATTTGTTAGAGGATTGGAAAGAATAACCACAATAGGACCAGGTCTGTGACCTATGAAATTTATTTAAAAACAAGTAAAATATTAAAAAATAGGATGAACTATTCTGTTACAATGATGTGTAAGAATTACTTTTCTTCCTTGTTTGCTTTATTTAAAATAATTACATCAGGACCTACATTTCCGGATTTTGATGTCTTTATGATTTAAAGTCTGCACCTATAAGGAGTAGTGCCCTAAGGAATTAAAAAAGGAAATCAAATTAGATTCAGGTACTGTTATTTTAGGTGGATAGTATGCTGCGACAACTGTGACAGAAAAAAGTGAGGTTTCGATTGCTACTGCTGTGGTTTGTAGGAAATTATGTACTGGTAGAGGATAATATAATGGGAGAGGATTGATGGATGATAACGGCAGTGCCTCCATGTGTAGTTCCATCAGGGTGGTCAGTTCGGTAAATCTTTTATCTAGGTATGTTGAACAATCGTTTGTTAGTTAGTCAGGTCTCAGTTATTAGGGCTATGTCAATGTTATTGTCCTGTTGAAAAAAAATGTTATTTCGTTGATGTGGTTTTGAACACCATTCGCATTCCAGAGGAGAATGGAAAGGGATTTTGTTGAGGACATTTAAGGAATTCTTGGCGGTGGGATAAGATTAGCTATGACATTTGTCAGTAGGGAGATGAGCGGGGTGATGAGGGATTTGATCTCGGAGAGAAATGATGTAAGGAGTGTGGTAAGGTCATTGGAATTGCTAGGGGGAGAAATGTAGGAGATTTGGTGAGGACCGGACTTGTGAGTATTCTTATATTGGGGTGGTGGATCATGAGTTTGTGGCAGGGCCTGTGATTGATTGATCTGTTCTATCTCTCCTAGTACTTCAGCATAGGAGACTTCTTTATTCACACGACGTGTTGGTTGTCTTGGTGGTCTGGAAGTTCCGGAGGTCTCTTCCTGTCTAAGTGCTGCCTGTCTAAGTGTTTTTGATCTCAAGATTTTATAAGTTTGGCATCCCTTGTAGTTTGCTGGGTGATTTAGATGGCATAGTGCACACATAGCTGGAGTTTGCCTAGACTTAGTGCATTCCTCAGATCTGTGTTATTGTCTGCACTTCACACATCGAGGTAAAGTGGTGGCAGTAGCTTATAGTATGGCCATAAGATTAACAATTATGGCATTGTACTATTTCTCTTTTTGTGTATGATTTTTCAACCACTATACTAGTATAGTACATACGGGTTAGATTATAAATGCTTTCGACCCCTGGAGTGCGTTCCAGATCTACAAAAAACAATGGTAACGCTATTTTGTTAATTGTGCCTGGTTGCTTTTTATTTCCTTTATAGATGTTAACGATTTGGCAGACATTGTAATCTAAAGCCATCAAGTCTTCCTTGATTTCATTGGGTGGAGTTGAAGGGTGGAGGCCTCTTATCACCACTCTTAGTGCTCTCTCTTCTGCTAAGGCCCATATCAACACAAACCTTTCACAATCATTTTTGAGAAGTTGGTCTAACATTTAATGTCCCTTTTACATTACCTGCAGCAACAGTGCATCACTGGCAACTCCACAGATTATGGTGTAGAGAGCGCCTAGATGAGAATACAAATTGGAATGCAGTTATGTTTACAAATGACATTTCAGTATTTATAGTGAGTGATTGTAGGCACCAAAAAGTCAACCAAGAACAGAGGATAGGTACATTGACAAAGTTTTTGATTCTTTTATACAGTCTGTAGGTGGGTGTGTGATGGTATGGACCTGGATCTACTCAGGAGGACGATCTCTACTCCATATTGTGAATCATATATCACCATGTTTATGGGATGAAATTCCTTGTGAAATCAGTGACAACATTATAAAAAGTATGCCCAGTAGGTGTAGAGAGGTAGTTTTTTAATAGAGCTTATTATACAAATTATTAAATTTTACAACATTTTTACAATTTGTAATCAAAAACAAGACCACAAAACATTTTATTTTATTATTTTTTAAAATACCTTTTATAAAATTTCCCAAAAATAATCTTATTTTTATTAATTTTCAATGTATTTTTTAATAAAAATACAATAAACCTTTTAGTGAAAATAAATCATTCATAACTAACAATAAACCTATTCATTTTTGAGCAGTTTATTAAAGTTTATTCATGTTCTAGTACTTAAACCCATATTAAAGTTATATGTGAAAAAACATTGCTAAATAAATTAGGATCACTTTTTTTTTTATATTTACCTATTTGCAACACAGTAAACCTTCCTTTCCATGGTTTCTTTATTTAATTTTAAGAAATTGAAACTCTCTTGTGTATTTATGAATAAAATTTCATTATCCATGGATGTAAAACATACACATTAGAGGGAAACGAAAAAAACTTTATTTCAGCGGAAAACTTTCTAATAGCACTCAAAAGTTGCCTTTTTATGACAATAAAAAGACCACAAAATTTTTTTTTTTTTTTTATTTATTTCTCGAGATTTAGCAAGAGGCTTAATAATAAGATTGATGTCTAAAAAATTAAATTTTACATTAATTTTTTTTAAAGCAAAAATAGGTTTTAATGTTTAGTAATAGATCCTTATTTACGATAACAACAATATTATGAAGTTTATTGTGCTCTAAATGTATCCTATGATTTTTCGAAAAAAATGAAGAAATGTTCTTTTCACGTAAAATTTTAAATGTTGATTCCTACTTGAATTAATCTATTTTAATTACTATAATTGTTGTTTACAGTTCTTAAAATAATAACATATAAAACAACATTTAAAAAATGAGTAATAACAATAATGAACTAACCTGTTATTTTGAGTGTTTCACTTTTAAAGAAATTAAAAATAAACAGATAAAAAATAAAATTTTGTCTTTGTTTCGTAATTGTTCTTTATTTATGGGGATTAGGTAACTTTTATTGATGAAATTTTATTTTTAATCCCTTACTAAAACCTATTTGAAATCGAAAGACTCTAACAACGGGTAAGTTCATTATTGTTATTACTTATTCTTACTTTTACTTACCTATATATGTAATATATAGTAAGTATAAGTATTGTGATCGTGAAAATTTTTGAATCTGAGTTTTGAACGGAAATACATGTTTTGAGGTCTCCTGAGTCCAAATAAGCAAGTCCCGAAAAATGGTCTTGTGTCTATGAACACTTTAAGCTCGAAATTATGATGATTATGGCATTAAGAATTATAGAATTCATATATATATATATATATATATATATATATATATATATATATATATATATATATATATATATATATATATATATATATATATTATAATGTTCTCTTTCCCTCCAAATTCAAACAACAAGTTTCTTTTTCAATATACCATTTATTTCTCACATAGATATACATTTTCAGGTTGGGTTCTGACAACTAAACACTCATCCAAAATTAAATAACTGTATGCTACACTAATTTACTAATTACTAACTACACTAATTATACATATAACATTTATAATTGTTTTCAAAACCATTGATTGTCCCGGTCTAAACTTTGTGGCTCTATCCCTCTGTCAATATAAATGGCATTGTTGGCACCCACCCAAATGTTCAAGACTTTCAGTGAAATAAACTATTCTTACTTATGAATGTTCCGTTTTCGGTACCATTGAGTTAATTTCCGCTATGTTCTTTCTTCCAACACTAAGTAATCACCACTAGTGGCCTCCATCAACTCTTGGATCGGCTAGTACTCCTTTTACATCTTCTCGGCTTGCTGGCTGGTCACCATCTGACGTTACGTTACGTTGAGGCTTGCTTCCCCCACCATCCGCACGCACTTCCTCTCAGTAGTTCGTGCTGTTACCACTTTCGCGCCAATATTAAAATTCCTATGTAATGTTGACATTAAAATATATATATACTTTAATAATTAAAATTACTCTAAATAAAATATAAATAGATATAATAGTCTACTTTATCATTTGTACTCTTGTTAGACTAAAATAATTTCATGGTACCCTTATAATTAAATAAATAATCAAAATACAGATATAGGGGGTGTGGAATATTGATATAGATAGTGAGGCAGAACATGCAAATTTAATAGATTAGATGGATGGAAGAAATATAAGGTAATTAATTGCCTTATATTCATTTATTATTTTGTCTATAATTTTTACTTTCACTACCCTATAACTATTTATACTCCAAGTAGGGTGGTAAGTAAAAGTTGTGTGATACACACACCTTTTTATTTCAATTTTACATAAGTAGATTTATTGACTTTGGATAAAATGCTTCTCATATATATTTATTTATTTTATGTTAATTATTTTTAGATGATGTACTGATGGGTTCTGAGCCTCAATTGAAAATTGTACCGAAAGATAGATTTGAAAAACGATGTCGTGAACTTTTACTATTACGCCATGCTACTTTGCCTGATGTTGTGAAACCCAGTAAAGGAGACAAAGTTACATTTAAGGAAGTTCCAATCTTTTCAGATGCTGTAAGTTCACACACGCAATGCACATGCGTGCACATATACATACACACACAAATGAGGTGTAGATAGATATCTAGAGCTTATTCTAGAGATAAATGAAGACAACAAATACCAGCAATTGTACATCAAATTTTCAACCGAAAAGTCCATATAAAGGCATTGTCTTTTCTCCCTCCTTTTTTGTTTAACAGTTGGTTTTGGTGATTTTTCGATTATTTTTTTCCTGCATAATGTCCTTCCTATAGCGTTTGAAAAAAAAAATTGAAAATTTATTTTTTTAACTTACAAACTATCACAAAATTTTCATCAAGTTGATCTGGTTTCATTGATCAGAAAGGTTCTGTTGGGTGCCTAATAATATTGCTTGTTATAAACTTTTCGTTAGCAAATACATTCATATATATTTTGTAAAATTAAAAGTGACTCTGTTATATACATCGCTAATATTGTTCTAGTTATTGCTTACTATGCCACAAAAGAAGACAATTAACATTGAAAACAAAAAACTTAAATTTCCTGCTTTTCCATTTGGAATAAGGCCATAGTTTATGATAAATTTTTTTGTTGCTCTTGGTGTCTAATATCACCTCTTTTATTTTTTGCTGTTGCTTACACAGAACACCTCATATAACATTTTTCACATTAACCAATTAACTTTTTAACCAATCAAGTTTTTTACATTATTGAAACACTAAATGTTATCCGTTAAACTAGCCTGTACCACAGACAACCCATGAAGGGTCTTGAGTTCAGTACAAGGCCAACAGTTGTACAAGAAGGTGACATGCCAATATCACAATGAGCTGCCAGTTTTCCACCTTAATTAATTATTTTATTAAGAGTACTCACTTTATAGATGCTCGGTTTGCCCCAGGAGAGTTTTCTCAAGACCCCAGGATCGACCCATGACTGATGAAAAATTACTGGTCATCAGCCAGAATACGAACCTGGAACCATGAGCTCTGAAAGTCAGTGCTCACTCACTGAGCTATCCCACTCTCCTGTTAAACTAACATTGAATTTAAATGAACATGGATAAATTGAATTTGTAACTAACCTTGAAAAATTATTATAAACTTGTAATTTATTTCTATTCTTTTTTAGCTTCTAGATAATGATTTGCTGTTATTTCCGAGAGTCCTACCTGAAGCTCAGAAAATGCCACCACATGTTGTTAAAAATGAGATCTTAGAAGGTGGCACTAAAATATTAAGTGCACTACAGAAATATTTGCCCATGTCAACAAAAGGAGTTCTTCCAGGTTATAATCCTTCAAAAATAACCATGTAGAACAATCCATTTTTTTGAAATATATAGAACTACTTTTTTGCTTACAAAAGATATTTTATGATTTCTTTATAAAAATTTTTCAACTTTATTCTCGCAAGACATGTTTAGTATAAATAAATCTTTTAAACAATGAGTATAATTTATCTTTTTATAACCTTTTATACTAATTTTGTTTAGACCTATGTTAGAACTTATTTTAGACCCAAAACTAAACTGAGGTCCTCATATTTCCATGAATAAATAAAATGTAATAGTAGCTTTTTGTCATATATTTAGTTCCCTCACTCTTAATAACACACCAGATAACTCTAATAGTGATTTGAATTGATTTCTTTAATTATCTTATATTTGTATTAGCTGTTTTTTCCCATGTGATTTTATTTTAGAAATGGGTACTTATGAAGGTTGAAGGAATTCATTTAAAAGATATCAAGATTTAAAATTTAATGATTGTGATTTTTTTCTTTATACCTAACTCCTAACCTTATATAAATTATTCAAGCATCTTTCAGTAAAATTTTGTTCATAACATAATGATACTAAATAAAATTCTATATTAAAAAAAAAAAATGATTTGAAATGAATGTAGCTACACTTAAGTTAATATGTTTCTGAAATATTATAAACAATGCATTTTAATAAATTGACTTCTTCAAATTTTTAAATATCTACAACTGGAAATGTGAAAGAAAGATCATAAAAATAAAATTAGTAGATAACATGATATATATTTACTACAGGATAAAAACTAATTATTGATGTTAGTAATTACAGATATACATAGAAAAATAACTGTGGACAGTTAGTATTATAAAATTAATAATTATTATAAAATTAGTAATCACACTTTAAATAGTTTTATCACACTTTAAGTAGTATTAAAACAATCAGATGGTTGATAGACTTGGAATCTTTTACACAGTGGGCCAGGCCCCCCTACCGTGCACCCCCTCCCCCCACATCCCTATAAATTGCATACCATTGTGTTCCTTGTAACTATTTATTAAAAAGAAGCCAATGTTCCCACGAAAAAAAGTGAACACACTGCCCCAAAGATGGCGGACTGACGTTTTTTGGTCACTGATAATCAGCATTTGGTTTAATTTCGTCATAATTGGTTTTTTATTAAAACTAAATAGTCAGAGAATAATAAAACATGAAACAATTTTTTAAAAAATAATTGGTTTAGGCAATAAAAAACACCAGTAAAGCAACAAAAAAAACACCAATAAATTTTAAAAAAAATTTTCATGTTGAAAATTGAGCATCATTTGTAATGAAATGGCTAATAATAACGGAAAACATCTGGAGAATATATTTTTCTTTCTGAAACATTGATAACTTTTTAAATATTTAGCGTGTTTTTTTAGAAAATGCATTTAATCGGCGGAAAAGTGGTACTGGCCTAGGTGCCTACAGGCCTCTGCCACATCATTCAGTTCCATATATGACATAGTTACAGTGCTATAATAGCGTTTTTTTTTTTTACATTAAATTGATTATATTAATGAACAAATAATGCAATAATTTAATTGTCCAAAAAAATGAAACAATGTTTTATTTATTTATTTTTTAAAATATTATTTCCTTTATTCTATAGGGAGGTCATTTAAGAATGCTTCTATTGTAAAAATGATATAATTATAGTAATAAAACTTAATTCAAAAATACTTTGCTGAATATCTTGAATCTTTTATTTAACATTTACAATTCAACACCTTGTTTTCCATATTTACTGATTCTTAGAGGTAAATTAAATTGAATATACTTTCCCGGAAATGACTCATATTAATAACTGTTTTTATAAACTAAAATATAATTAATTTGAATTATATATAATGAATAGTTGCTGGGTTGTTTAATAAAACTCATATTCCTCTAATAAAAAAAAATAATTTCATTTTTTTATTTCCTTTATTTTGTTGGGAGGTTGGGCCATATCATACAAAAATGAGAAATTTTAATATTGAATGCTTTATTCTCTCTGCATAAAGAAAGATGGAAAGGAAGAAGCTGTTTATTCTTCTTGGTAACCGGAACTAATTGTTAGTGTTTGGTATCAAACTTGGGAACGCAAAATTGAACCCAAAAATTGGAAAAATACATTAATCGAACGAGGAAGGAATTGTCAAAATCTCGCAAAAGACAGCAAGGATCAGTATCTATTATCCCGCTGAACGAATATATTGAAGACAGATGAGAACAGAATATTTCAAGAAGTTGCTAAAATGGAGTCCAATGCTGGAGCAGTTTGGATAATATTAAGGGGGCGATGGAGGTTAATTGTGGTGAAGACCATTTTATTTTCGATTACTACTTAGTTGCCCCTTGAGACCATCTTCACTTTGAAGCAGGTTATAGAGAGATCCTTCGAGAAAGGGGAGTAGCTTTACTTCTATTTAGTGAATTCGCAAAAGATTTTTGAAGTAATCAGAAAGGAAAACATACAACGAGCTTTTCTGAACGGCGAATACATATTTGCACAATACAATGTGTGAGGCACTAAGCAGATAGGGAAGGAATTGCTAAAATCTCGCAAAAAAGACACAAGGATCCTTATCCATTATATAGCTGAATGAATATATAGTAGACAGATAACCAGAATATTTCAAGAAGCTACTTAAAGGAGGTCAAATCATGTGGCAGTTTGAATGATATTAAGGGGGTGATGGATGTTTATTATAGTGAAGACCATTTTATCAACAAGAAAGATAATTTCGAAGCAATTGATAGGTCATTAGGTCTGGATGAAGTAACCCGAAATGCTGCGTGTACATAGGCAACAAATGTGGAGATATATTTTTCCACTTCCTCAATGTATATTGATTAATATGACATTAGAAAATTATTTGATAGGAGTGTAGTTTTGTCTTTTTACAAGCAAGAGATTTATTCCTGTTTAGTATGTCAAAGAAGCTCTACTCAAGAATAGTGGAAGCTAGAATAAGAAATATTGCCTATTGCCAGAAAACTCAAGTTGCACATTGACAATATCTTCACTTTAAGGCAGGTTATTGATAAGTGCCATCCAGAAAGGAAAATAACACCCTATGTACTTATTGCCTCACACATTGGATTGCCCAAATATGTACTTGCCATTCAGAAAAGATCATTGTATGTTGTCCTTTCTGATTATTTCAAAAATCTTTTCCAAATTCAATTAACAGAAGTAAAGCTACTTCCCTTTCTTGATGGATCTGTCTATAACCTGTTTCAAAGTGAAGATAGTGAAGTTTAGCAACTCAAAATGTTCTGAAAATATTGAAATATTCTGTTCATCTGTTCACTATATATTCCTTCAGCCAGACAAATATTTAAAAAAGTTATCATTGTTTTGGTTTGAGAAATATATTTTCCACATATTTTATTTCAAGACGTTATCTGTTAATGTTGGCCGTTTAATTAAAAACGACGCTTGATTTTCAACTTGAATTTTTTTTTTTATAATATTGACTTTTCTGGTGTTTTTTTATTGACTAATCCAATTATTTTTTAATATTGTTTCATGTTTTATTATTCTCTGACTATTCAGCTTTAATAAAAGAGCAATTATTACGAAATTAAATCAAATGCTGATCCTCAGTGACCAAAAGACTAACTCAAGTAAAAGTCGAGTCCGCCATCTTTGAACGCCATTTTGGGCTAGTACGTTCTCTTTTTTTTTCGTGGAAACATTGGCTTTTGCTTCTTCACTACCGAAGGTAGGGAAGCATTGTATTCGTGCGAGAGATTAAAAAAAATTTATTGCTCAGAATAGAAAATTTCCACTCGCGTTTAACGTTTCAGACATCAAGGATCAGACATCAAACCCAGATCGTCCTCGCATGGGCACCCTCACATTGTGGAATACCTGGGAACGAAGCTGCAGACAGAGCTGCGAACCTGGCAAGAAGAAAAACTAATGGAACCACAATGATCAATTTAACGACCACTGCTGACTGGATATTGGAATGCAAAAAAATGCTAAATGAAAAATGGCAATTCAAGTGGAACCAATCTACGAATAAATTACAAGAAATTAAAAAAGATACCAAACTGTGGACGACCTCTTTCAGAAAGAACAGGAAAGAAGAAGTAATTTAAACTCGGCTTAGAATTGGACATGCAGCCTTTACCCACGGCTACCTAATGAGAGGCCTGGAACCACCATTTTGTAAAACATGCAACACATCACTTACACTGAAACACATTGTAACAACTTGTAGACTATACTCTGACACCAGAACAAAACATAATATACCTTCCAACATATTGAAGCACTTTCAGATGACGAAGAAAAGATACAAAAAGTATTTGAATTTATAAAATACATTTTTTTTTTAAATTTCTTTATTGAGTATTATAACAATCTGTCTGTTGGACATTGGTTATAGTGAGGTAGGTAAAATACATTAAATTTGTACACCTAATTTGATTACATCTAAAGCCGCTAATGACCCGATCGGGTAGATGCGGAATGTGACAATAAATAAATAAATAAGGATCAGATTTGGTTCGTTGTCTGTCTGTCGTCAAATCGATGTAACGGGCATATCAACTACTACCATTTACCCGATTTTCATGAAATTTTCAGGAATTGTGCAGGTTGATGTCTAGATGGTCCCATATCAATTTTATTAAATTCTAACAAGCACTTACGCATACGCACACGCACACGCAAACGCATTTTTGTAGATATGCCAATATTTCAGAAACGGATCGTTCGATTAGACTAAAAGTCGGATAAAAGGTATGTATTTGTGAAAATTCAATTTTATTGAATTCTATCTATTACTTTCTCTTATATATGCGCAAACGTGTTTTCCTTGGTACGTCTATATCTCTAAGACCGCAAGTTCAATTTGGCTCAAATTTGGAGGAAATTTAGGGATTGGTAGACATAAAATGAAATAGGCATCAATTTTCTGAAATTCTATTTAATACTCCTAAAACAAATACTTCCGCTTTCAGACCAGGAAATGTGTTATTTGATATGCCTATAGTTTGGAAACGGCGCATTA